ACATTTTTTTTTAAATACTTTTTTGTATTTTTTTTCGTATACAAAAAAAAAATAATCCTGCCGAAGACGTTTGCGTTGAAAAAAAAAGGATTCCTTCTCTCAGTAAGAAATCTCGCATTTTATTTTTAATGTAATCTTTCTTGTATAGTTTCTTGTTATAAAAAAGTTTCTCTTTTTTTTGAGCACCATCTCTACGTTGCTCATTAATTTTCTTTTAGCTACACTAAAAAAAGAAAGAAAAGAATAATAATCGTTTTTGTGTTTTTAAGAAAATACTTGAAAAACTCATAGCAGTGTTAAAATAGTTTGTATGATTCCCGTTTCACTTTGAAAATTCATTAAACTTCAATATTGTTGTTTGATTTAACTTTGGATCAATTAATAGTTGATACTTTTTTAGTACTTTTGGTTCACTTAATTGTTTTTAAAATCGACTTTTTGGTATGACAAACTTTATTGGTAATATCTACAAAATTTCTGTTTTTGCTTTAATTAATTTTTACTGGCCGAATTGAATACAATAAGGAAGATCATGTGATGGCACCAAATTTCGCATGTCAAGTTTTCGGTGAAAGGACCATATTATGGGAGCGTAAATAAACTAAGTTCATAGGATGTCAGTCGGTTTGTCTGTCTGTCTCTCAATCTGTCTGTGCAGACCAATATCTCAAGTTCGGTTGAAGTGATTTGCACCAATATTTGTACCTTCGATGATGAAACGATTTAATAAAATTTTGGGAAATGTCAGATCTCAGGAACTGAGCCTGATTAATATATTCGACAATATATTTTATTGCCTGATAGTACAAGAAGATATACTTTTCGCGATATGTATAAAGTAAGCACTGTGTGTATTTCGATATTGTGTAAGCACAATAAACTTTTTGGCGGAATTTATTGAAATTCAATAATTGTTTGGGTGGGGACTAATTGACAAATTTTTCAAAGAATTCGGATAGCATAAAGTGAACTTTTACTAAGCTAGCGGCGCCCTCAAAATTTAAAAGAAGTATTTAAAGATCAAGATTATGAAAGTCTTGTCATTTTCGCTAAAATAGTCCATAACATGCTGTTGCTTATGGGATGACCACATCAGATTTTTTTATATTAATAATTTCAGTACAAAAGATGAACCGATTGTTCGTTTTGATTGATTTTTTTCTCACTAGTTAGTTTAGTGAACCCACCTTGACGATTCTTCTGATAAAAGCTCCATTTGTAATAAGTTTTTGAAATTATGGTGCTGCTTTTGAAAAGTTTAATAATATGGGAAAGGATCATTTTTTTTTGTTCACATTTAATATTGCATAATTTCATAACTTAAGTTTTGAGCTTTTGTTTAGGATTAATGCATTTGGAACTAGGTCAGTAATAATGGCTAATATTCAAACTTCATATAAATAAACGATAAAACTTTAGAGCGCTTTGGAGAAATTTAAAGTTTCATTTTCAAAAAAATTTATAAAAAATAAATCTGTTTTCAAACAAAGTACCATGCACTATGTGTTTTATATTTTTCATTCCACATGCACGTATTTTCGAACTGACAAATTTATAACTTAAAAAAGAAATTAAAAATGGTTCTAGATTTAAACCCCCATGATATTTTTTTAAAAGATTATTACGATTTCCGTAATTTTAACTTTAGGAGTGCATTACATTTTTTGACTAATTTGCTATTTTACTCTTGAACTTCAATGTCATTAAATATAATCCTTCTTCACTACTTTTAAGCTTATAGAAAATATTTTAAGCTATCTTATATCAAATAAACAGCGTAATAAAATCTGTCATGTTAAATCTTTACGTCTTGCATTTGTTTTTTTTTTTCTGGTAAAATGTCTTTATGCCCAAAATAAATATCAAAGCTTCGTCCTAAATTTAAAGAGACTAAAAGTTGATTTGTTGTTTACAGTCATATTCAACTAGCATTTGGTTGATGTTAGCCTTTTTTTCTTAAAGTTGTTCAGTAAAGGCTTCAACTTCTTAATCTGATACATCACCGGGCTTGTTACCTGCATATTCATCAATTGTCTGATCTACATTTGCATTTTTATGAATAAATAGAGCCATAATTAACCACATAATTACGATTAATTCTTCAAGTTAAGAGTATTATTTTATTCAAATTAAATTAAACTGGGAAATGTTTTTTTGAATTTTAGAAACTAACTTCTTGCTGTGTTTTTATAAAATTTCACAAAAGTAATGTAAATACACTACTTTGAAATAAACACAAGTTTCAGGTACCAATCTCTTATTTAACAGTGACTTTTTTAAATTTGAAGTTAGCGGCAGATACAAGTTTACCTATTTGGATAAGGGATAAGTTATGCAGGAAAATTCTGTTGATATTTTATTCAAAATCATAATGTCATTCCGATATTTTGTTCATGAAAAATTTTTCTGCCAATGAATACTGTTAAAGTATTTGTTAACAAAACATTCGTTTTATCCTTTTTTATTAGTTTATGGTTTTTGCGGTGAGTAACATACGGAATGATGGAAAATACAAAGGAAGTAACATTTCATCCGGCTCTTTATAAATCCATATCTTAAATTATTTTTTATGTGAAATTTAATTTTATTGCAAGTCTTTTTTGTTTATATATACGAATGCATGGATATGCATAGTGGTTTATGCATACTGTATAAAATTATCTGTCATATACGATTGCATGAGCAAGAAGATTTGAATATTTAGTTTAGTAAAGCAATGTAAGACGAAGATATCAACTGCCTTGTCGTCTTAAAGTCCTCTTATGCATGCAAGAGCTAAGGTGGTAATAATTTTTTTTTTATTATTATTTGTTTAACAAAAGGAATCATTTCCCTTCCTTTCCTTTATATTTATTCTCTTTTCTTCATCCTAGAGAATTTTTTGCTATACATACATGTATTTGCACTTGCACTCTTGTGATTTACGTACCATAGGATTTCGTTTTTAAAAGAAAATTGTGAAGAAATTTTAGTTTTTGCTTTTAATTTTTTTTATTATATTTGTACAATTCTTTTTCTCTTTTTTGGGCCATATGATTTAAAAACGCAATAATACGAAAAGAAAGAGGAACGAAAAGCTTTCAGGATTTAACAATGGTTTCAGTATTTTTATGAAAAGAAATTATAAGAAGAATACTCCTCTTCATCTAGATTTTCAAAAACTTATTCCATATTTTATATCAATAAATTATATCTAAGATCTATGTACATATGTACACTTGGAGCAACTACTTAAATAAGGTTTTTCCTTAGTTTTGGTCCAGAGAAAGCAAAGTTTTATATTATTTGAACGTTACATTTTTTTTGGTCTTTTTTTTTGTATTTTAAACAAAGGAAATATCTTTTTTTTTTCGTTTTTTGTATGACATACAAAAGAGGAACGGCAAATCTAGACAATAACGCGGATGACAGAAAAGATATTCATTATAAAAATGGTGAAAGATCTGTACAACATAAAAGCAAAGTTGAATGATTTAAGAGTAGAGAAATTGCAGAAGAAAAGAATGCACGGATGGTTTCTTTTTTCTTTGCTCTTTATTATTTTTTATTATCATAAAAGTTTATTCTTTATTATAAATATAAATAAATTTTATATCAGAAATTTATTTCTATTTTAAAATTTGATTAAAATTGAAAATTTTTTCTTTAATAAATATTATAAAAAAAACTTTTTTTTTTAAATTGAGAGACTAAACCCCAAACGATTGTCTTCCGCTTAGTTTGCAATTTAATATTTTTAAATTTGGGAGGGAAGTTCTGATTTCATATTTTAGATGAAAGAGCAATGAAATGGTGAATTAAGTAGTTTGTTCTTAAAATTAAAAAAAAATGCACAGAATTAATTTTGTTAACATAATCGTTATTTATTAAACTAGATTTTCGCATTAATTGTATGTTGAGTTTATGGTTTTCTAGCAATTTTTTGGAAATAGTTTCATTGGAGATAAGAAAAATCTTTCGATCTATAATTATGGACCTGAAGAGACAAAAATTTTAGTAATGTTTATTGGAGATTACGGTATTTTTGAAACGGAAGAATTCAACTACAAAAAAATTTTTCTACTTTTTTTTCGATTAGGGGAAAGCAAAATTAATAAAATAAAAACTTTGTTGAAAATAAATAAATTTTATCTTTTAGAGAAAAGTTATTGAGCTTTTTTCTTAAAAACTGGTTAAAATTAATTTTTAAATGTTTTCTCTAAATATGCTTTAAATTTACATTAAAATTAATTTCTTGACACTTTACGTGTCGGACTTTAAATTCGTAATATTTTTATAGAATTCAAGTAACTTGGACTTGTTTAAAAGATCATATTATTTGAATTTTTATTCATTAAGTGGAGAAAATAGCGAAATTGTTAACTTTTAGTTGCAATAGCGAAAGTGTTTAACGGAAGCTAATATTTTATTAAAACCATTTTAATATAATAAACATAGGGTTAGATGATAAAACACAAAACCAATGTTCGAAGTTACAAAAGTAAAATAAAAGTAACCTTGTCAAATAACCTCTCCCCCTTGATAATATTAATGAAAGTAAAAAGTAAAAAATGCAAAATTTTAGACTCAACTTAGTAGTATATAAATTCTCTTAAAAAGTGCAATTAATTTAAATCGCAATTGTATAAATGCCAATAGTAGCATTATGTTAATTGGTAATTAAAAATTAAATTTTCCACATTTATGAATAACGAAATTTTTTCTAAGTTGTCTTTATTCTCGAAACAAAACAGTAAAAAGTTGATATTGTAAAGGCTGCTTTCATCAGACTTAAATTGAAACCTCGTTTTTAACATCAGGTTTTCATTGAAACTACATTTATAACATTATTAAGCCCCGCTGGTTGCCTAATTCTTAGCTTAAAAAAATTTAATTGCAAGAATATAGGCTTCATAATGATCCTTCAAAATAAAACATAAGATTCAGAATCTTGTGTAATGATAATAAGAATAAAACAAAGTTATATATGAAAACTTTATAACATAATAATAAAAACTTACCAAATCGGCAATATTCGCTACTTGTATAGCGTCGTGTATTACTTCGGCACGTGTACTGCCGTTTCGTTTTTCAAACATTGCCTTATCGACTACAATGGCAGTTTCAATATATTTTGTTGCTTCACGAACATCACGTTTATATCGCCCAGCACCATTTGGATGGAGTATATCTATCATATCGTTATCAATAAAATTTGTTACTAAAGATGATAAATGTTTTGTGCGGCGTGACGATCGCCATGTATCTAAATTACCAGAATTTGCACACCCTTTATTTGCTTTTGTTCGAGCTTCAAATATCACATGCGGGTGTTTCTGCTGAAACAAATGTGAATGCAAAGTATGAGTTTATTTCGGTAAAACAAATTTTTATTAAAAATTTTATTTTATTATTGTTGTTTAAATTTATTAAATTTTCTAATTTGAATTCTATGAGTTTTTGTCTATTTTGTTGATTTAACTGTTTTTTATTATTCTTTATTGAAGAAAAATATAATGGTTTTTTCGTGAAAAATATTAAGGGACAGACATGTTTTTTTTTAAGTTTAAAAGAGAATAAAAAAAATATAAAAAAAACTTGTATGCGGTTGTTATTTTTCTTTATAACCAATTCAAATTTTCAAACTCTTCTAAATGCGTAATAATTCCTTTTAAAAGCGTTTTAGTCTGAAAATGATTAATGGGTCTAACAAAATACCCTTACTTTAGTATACAAAATAAATTGTAAGTTTAATATTAAATTGACTAAAAAGAAAATAAAAAGCAAAATTAAGGTGTAAAGAACAGCTCAAGGTGAAATTGTTGAAAAATATTTTTTTAATATCACGTCAAAATCTCCATTTTTTTCGTTTACTTTAGAAAATTTATTTTTGCTTCTTGAACCCACCATAAAGTTTTTGAAGAAGTTCAAATCATTTAAGTAAACAGTTAACAAGTTTGGGGAGTAAAACTGTCTTTCTCATTTGGTTTTTGTTTGGACCAATGTGATGATTAGTATCTTTTGGAATGTTGACCTTCAAAAAGCACTGAGAGAAAATTCTAAATTATGTTGTAGCATTTAGAGCCATAAAATTTGTTGTAGCTGGAGTTTTTGTTTAGTTGTGTTTTTATTTAGTACAACGATTTTGTCATTTTACTTTCATGTATTAAAGAATTTTGAACTGAAAATGCATTTTCTCTAAAATGTTTATTTTTACATAATAAAAACTAAAGATTATGTGAGGCGACAAAGAAAATTGTAAAATAATTTTTGTTTATAATACAAATAACTATACATACTATAAACATATATGTATATGGATATGTAAATAATACTTCTTTCTATAATTATATTAAGCTGTGCTTGGAATAGTTGTTGTTCGATTTTGTCTCATATTTGATTTAGATTATCATTCGATTTATGTCACTAATCCAATAATATTTCCATATTTATCTTAGTTCAGACTTGATATGTTATGACTGATCATGATTTATGGAATATAATATAAGCCTTAAATTGATTTCACTTAATCTACATCTAATTATATTGAAATTACATAAAACATATACAATCTTCGCATTTTTTTAAAAAATTTTTGAAAAAATGCTTATTAGTTCACCCCGTCTGGTCGTCCGTCAGTCCTTGTGTCTGTTTATAAAACTTCTACACGTCATAATACATATAATTTATGCGACACTGTCACAGTGAAACATATTTGGTTTCCACGTTACTTTTATCGTTTTATAGGTATGCGTATTTCTTAAGCTTTTCGTGGTGATTGATAAAATCGATACTGCACTAGAATTTGTTTTACTTTGGGTGATATATATTATCAAGATTACACCATGAAACACGTATGCAAATTTTAGATTGTTATTTTAAAATCAAAATTTAGATGTATATATGCATAAGAATAAAAGTTGTCGTTGAAGCCATGTAGTTAAAAGTTTTCAATTAGTGAAATTTCAAATATATCATTTTGCCAGGACTTTTTTTCTACATTTCTTCAAAGAATTTAGACTAAAACCTTTTTGATTAAGAATATATCCTTAGTAATAAAAATTCAGTTCAAACTCTTGGTTTCTTTTGTAAGAGTAGTTTTTTTTGTGATTAAAAGGAAAAAAGCAATCAATCGTGAAATGTGGGACGCTTAAAATATGTTGTAATGGTAGAGATATGAATGTACTTAAGAATTCTTTAAAATTTTTGGAAATAAATCTTTCCCTTATAATAGCGTAATGTTATCTTTCAAAGATTTGTAAAGTTTTTTTTAAATTATGCTAGGCGTACATATTAAGTTGGTTTTTATTTGTTCTTGCTATAACTTCATCCTTCTTATACATTAATTTCCAATCTTCAGCTGTTTTGGGTAACTGTTTTGCTTAACTTCGACTATTTCGCGTAAACTTAATACCAAAAGACTTCACTGTACAGACCGACAAAAGCACATACCATTCAATAAGGAATATTGTTTCATGGTATCAAATTTTACATGTCGAGTGGCCCAGCGCAATTCCTGTCTGTCTGTACACATCTTAGTATCAACATATTTATATCACGTCTACGGCAGGCTAGTCTCCTACCAAGTAAAAAGTCTAGAACGCAATGAAACTGGGGCATGATATAGTCTATGTTGTCATGCACTAGCCCTAGGAGTAGAAAAAAAAAAAAAAATTTATATCACATATTAAAATGAGATTTAGATCATGTGATTTGTGAAAATTTTTAATATACTAGAGCTTTCTTTAGTGTGATCTCACCATTAAGGTAATTGCTAGATAGAAAGTATATTTTCAAAATAACGTTCATTAATTGGAACACATTATTAAATACAAAAGTGAACAACCAAAATTTTCATTATACATTTTTATTAAAACAAAATCGCAGAAATGGTTAAAACGTCTTCAACTTTTTATTTAACTACACCAAACTTAAGAGCCAACTCGCACATTTTGTTATAGAAATTTCTTTTAATTAATACAAAACATTTTAAAATGGTGTGTTGATTTTATTACCGTATTACATTGGGGTAAAGTTTTGGCACTGGCAAAAATTTAATTTATCTGAGAAAAATATTCTAAATTTTCTGAAAATTTTAAAGTTTAACCAACATGCCGTTTACTTACCGAAAAAAAATAAACAGTGAAAAATAACTTAAATAATGCAAAATTATCAAAACCTTTCCTTATAGCAATCGTAAATTTCTATGGTAATAAATTCTAGGTATCCTTGTTCGGGTTTTTAAATTTTTTCTCATTTTGTTTTTTTTTTTTATATTCTCTCTTTATGTTAAGTCTGTACGGGTAGAAGATATTTTATGGAATTTATCCATTGAAAAGCATTTTATATGTAAAATTACACACATTCTAAGGTAAATATTTAAATTAACAGGAGTTTTGGGAATTTGTTGGAAGTCACGAAATCAGCATGTAAAAGAAATGTATTTCTGGGTTATACATTTAACTCTGGTTAAAATATATACGCAGACTTTTTTATGTTTACGATGTTTTCAATTCTATTAACATTAATATTACATAATATACTTTATAGCTTTTTACTCCCATTTCATTTTACTTGCAGAAGGACATCGTTCCGTTTTAAATTAGGGAACTATGAGGTGTTAATATTTATATAGAGCAAATTATTACCTCTTATGTTGTAATCATGATAAGCATGTATATATGTATATGTGTAGTTAAAATGTTTGTTGATCGATAAACTGTATGTACACTTATACCAATCTGTTTTATATTAATATGCACGTATAAAATTGTGTATTTTATAATTGTCTTTTTACAATAAAATTCTAAAGTTTAATTTTTGAACAACAATAAAATTTGGTATAATTTGGTTAAGGCTACAAATTTTAATTGTATGTAAATATTTTCTTTTTTTAATTCAAAATAAAATTCTTAGAGTTTCTTTGTTTTTCGCGGCTTTCAAACTATACCTTGTCACATTGTGTATGTGCGGTCAAAATCTGGTGTAAACCTCAAATCTGTGTTTCTACCAGATTTTGATCGAAAGGTTAAATAAACTTGATCAATATTTATTTGAATTTCTAAAAATAATTTTTCATGTTTTAGTAATAGTATTAAGTGGAGTGCATTAAAACCAAGTTTGAAGTTTTTTGATTATCAAAACTCGACTAGAGATCTCCAAATAAATATATAAAACAGTTATGCTCCGCCGTAAAGCAACGAAAATTTTTATTAGAAAATTTAAATTTTTTTATTAGATTAAATTCAATTTCTTTCTTGTTAAAGTCAAAAACTTAAAGCAACTTAAAAATGGCTTTTGTTACCATCAAAATTTTAACAGAATTAAATGATTTTGTATTGTCCGAAATAAACTTTAGTTTCCTTCTTCCATCATCGCACAAATATGAAATATAATAAATGGTAAGGAAGTGTGTATAAACTATTTTTAGCAACGTTTCGGTTTATGAGTCTGTATGTTTACGCGTGTATCTTAAGTTCGGCGGAACCGATTTTGATGAAATTTTATATGAAATTCGACTATGTCACGGATTTTGGGGTATGCCAGGGCTCGGCAACTGAACCTTTTAACGGGTTAGTTTTATATTTTTGATATTTTGAAGAAAATATTCAACAGATTTGCTTAAAATTTCATATATTAGTTTCACTCGACCGTGAGTGAAACCTCGTAACTTTTGGAATACATCAAGTGTCAGCAACTGGATCTTCACGGGCCAAATATTCATTTTTGCGTAGATAAAAAAAAAAAATCCGATTTCATTGAAATATTTAAGTTCGAGGTGTTAAAACAATGAATCTATAAATTTTTTGAAAAAATCAGGGCTCGGAAACTGATCAGGTGGCCTATTTTAAATTTTTACCATATCTGCGGAACAAATTGATGGAATAACTTGAAGTTTAATATTTGAGTTCTGGTTGTTACCAGAATTTACTGACGAAATTTTTGGACGGCACAAAATGAAACTCTGCTAAGAGCCAAATTCATGTTTTTCTATGTATGTTGACTAAAAGTTTATTAGTGTAACCAAAATTGTAAAGAAGTGTTTAAAACGCATTTTCATCATTTTCTGGAATATTTTACTAATCTAGACATGCAGAATGTATGGTCGGATGTTTTATGCTGTAGTATAAAATAAACTAAATTAAAAAATTAAATAAAAGAAGCATTCAAAGTTAACTATTGAGGTTTGTAATTTCATCTATTACATGTCCAATTTTTAATATACATATTAGACTACAGTTAATGTAGTTGGTGACTGATTCCCGAGTCCAATTCAAGAGAAAATTTTATATTCTTAATTTTTTTAACGAGAAAACGGGTTCAGGCTATATGTTCCGAA